GATAGGTTGTCTCTTCACTCTGTTTGAGTGCTACCTTGTGTAAAAAAATTTTAGTTTGAGATCATCTTATTTGTTTTTATTTATTTATTTTTTTTATTGCCTTTTGTGGCCATAGCCAAAAAAAACATTGCCTAGACTCATGTCATGGAACTTTCCTCCTATATTTTCTTCTAGTAGTTTTATAGTTGCAGGTTTTACATTTAAGTGTTTAACCCATTTTGAGTTGATTTTTGTACATAGTGTAAGATATAGTTTCATTCTGTATGTGGATGAACAGTTGTCCCAACACCATTTATTGAGAATCTTCTCTTTCTCCCTATGTGCCCTTGGCATTTTTGTGGAAAATCAATCGACCCTAAATGTGTGGATTTATTTATAAGTTCTCTATTCTGTTCCATTGGTCTTTGAGTCTGATTTTAAGACAGTACCATTGTTCGTAGTCTATTTTGAATCAGGTAGTATGATATCTCCAGCTTTGTTCTTTTTCCTCAAAATTGCTTTGGCTAGGGGCCAGCAGGTGGTATAGGGGTTGAAGCACTGGACTCCTACATGGCTAACTGAGGTTTGAGTCCCAGACCCAGTGATTTTAAACTCATGTCAGGCATATGTATGTGCAGGCCAAAAATCCAAAAAGGAGAATGAAGGAGAAGTAATTGTGTCATGGCCATCCCCACTGGGGGTGGTGTTGGTGACTTCTCACTTTCTCTCTCTCTCTTTCTGTCCTTCTGGTAAGTGCAAGCACCCTATAAGAAAAAAAAAAATCTCTCTCTAAAACCAAAAAAGATTGCTTTAGCTATTTGAGATCTTTTGTAGTTTTGTACAATTTTTTAAGAGGCTTTGTATCCTGCAACTTTACTGAATTTGTTTATCAGTTGTAACAGTTTTTCTTTTGTGTGTGTGTGGAGTCTTTAGGGTTTCTCTCTCTCTCTGTATATAAATATATAGATATTATATATATATATATACACAATGTATATATTTATATATGTATACTATATATATTATATATACATATATACACATATATATACTTGTATATATTTATACACACACACATATATATATAATTTCTATGTCATGTTATTGGCAAACAGACAATTCCATTTCTTTCTTTCCTCCTAGATTGTCTTGGTTTCTTTATCTTGTCTTACTGTTTTAGTTCACTTATTTTTTAGTGTAAGAGTTTATATGTATAAATTTCCCTCCTAGCACTATTTGTGCTATATCCCATAAGTTTCGTATGTTGTGTTTTTGTTTCCATGTCTCAGGATTTTTAAGTTTGAGAGAGAGAGAGAATATAAGACTTCCATCAGAGTCTTCACACCATTATACACCTCAGCCTCAGCCAGCCAGGATTATGGGCATGAATATACACCAAAATGTACAAAGAGAGCTCAAGATGCAAACTTAGAGACCTCAGGATGCAAACTTAGAGCTCTTCTATGTGGTGGCAGCATCATATTACTGCATCATATCATTGGCCATTGTCTCAGGTATTTACTAATTTCTATTTTGATTTATTTCAGGACTCACTGATTGTTGGAACAATGGGAACATTGTTAACATTGAGAATATACAATTCTATATCAACTTTGGAAAACAATTTGACATCATTATGTTAAACTGAGTATTTTCATACTCAATAATCCAGATATTCTGTTGTTTCTTTATGTCAGAATTTCTGGGAGCTGGACTTCTTTGCTAGGTCAACAGAAACTGAGGTATTCATACTTGGGAATAGGTACGTCTCTTTTTCTGCTTAGCCTTTGGGGGCTTGAGTCAATTAAGTCAAGTGTTGAGCTGCATTTGGGTTTTGTTTTTGCTATGGTTACTCTCAGTGAAACACAGGCTTCAAATTCCTCTTGCATTACCTTGTTTTTAGAATTCTCAGAGAACCAGCTTTTGGCATAGTTTAATTTCTTCCTTGTTTTCTGTTTTTAATTTTATTGGTTTCCACTCTGGTCTTTATTATTTCCTTTCTTCTGCTGTCTTAGGTTTTTTTTTATTTCTTCTTTTTCTCACTTCTTAAGGTAGAGGGGTAAGGTCATGCTTTTTGAGAATTTTCTCTTTTTTTTCTCTAGTATAGACATTTTAACACTGTAAATTTCTCTTTAAATACTGCTTTAGTTACATTCCACAATTTTTAATCTGTGTTTTAATTTTCACTCAGTTCAAACTATTTCTGATTACCCTAAAACTTGTTTCTTTGTTTGACCCAGTTACTGAGAAGTATATTATTTAGTTTCCAATTATTTGGGGATTTTCCAGGTATCTCTTTGTTATTCATTTACAATATAATTCCATTTTGGTCTGAAAATATACTTTCTATGACTTGAATTACTTGAATAAACTTCTTAGGATATTTTCCAAGCTCAGAATATAGTATATCTCGGCAAACGTTTAACGTGCACTTAGAAAAATGAGTATTCTGCTGTTGTTGGGAGATGCTATGATTTGAAAGTGTTTGAATCCTAGACCTGGCAGCTTGAAAAACACAATGGGTGCAGGTGCACATGTGCCAAAATCCTAGGAGGAGAATGGAGGAGAATGGACTGTGGTATGGCCATCCCTCTTGGAGTGATTTCTCACTTTCCTACTCTATGTATCTATCTATCTTCCTCCAGTGAGCCCACTATAGCAAAACAAACAAACAAAGAAAAAAGAAAAAAAAAAGGAGAAAGTATCCCTTGGAGTTCATTTGTTGGAAACTTGAATCCCAATGCAGTGGTATTGAGACATAGGGAACTATAAGAGATGTTTGGATCATGGAGGCACTGTCTTCATTAATGGATTAATATCATTATTGTGAGACTGGATTCACTCTTGCTCTCTCTCTTGTCTTTCTGCCATCTGGCCTCAAATGACACAGTAGAAAAACCTTTGCCAGATACCAACCCCACAGTCTTGGACTTCCCAGCCGCCAGAATGTGAGCCAATTAAATTCTGTTCCATATAAATTACCCAGGCAAGGGTATTCTGTTGTAGCAGTACAAAATGGACTAAGAAGGGATATTAAATACATCAATTAGGTCAACTTGACAGTGTTGCTCAAGTTTTCTATATCATTCCAACTCATTACTAATTTTATATATATTCTATCAAATATTGGGAGTGAGGTGTTGAAGCCTTTGTACTTAGGGATTTATCTATTTCTCCTTTAGGAGTTAAAGGGTTTTATTAAATTTTAAAACACTTTTATTAGGTGCATAACTGGTTAGAATTGTTATGTCATCTTGATGAGCTGACCACTTTATTATACAGTTACTCTTTATCCCTGATAACATTTTTTTGCTTTGGATTTATAGGATAGGTTCAAAAAAATTGGGGATTTGTAAGTAATATGGCTTTTTTGCTGTGGTATGAGTGGGAATAATGCAAGTCCCAGTTGTTTTATGTTTTTATTTTTTTTCATCTTTTTAAGAACCAAGGTCCTAGGGACACATTTTAAAAATCATTAAGATCATTACAGTATCTGTGGAGAACAATTTGGAGATCCCTCAAAAATCTACAAATAGAACTACCATATAATCCAGCAATCCCACTCCTTGGTATCTACCCAAAGAACAGAAGAACACTTAATTGGACAAGTGCTTGCACATCGATGTTTATTGCAGCACTATTCACATTTGCTAAGTCATGGAACCAACCCAAATGCCCATGAACAGATGAATGGATAGAAAAACTGTGGCACATATACTCTATGGAATACTACTCAGCCATAAAAAAATAACAAGATCCTGGCATTTGATAGAAAGTGGTCAGATATGGAGGATCTACTGCTGAGTGAAGCAAGTCAGGCTATGATGGAGGGACATTGTATGTCCCCACTTCATATATATCGAGTGTCTGCACTCTATGACTGAAACTGATTGACTAAAAGATATAGAAACACAGTATATGGATGTAAATACCAGATATAGTGTGTGTCAAGGAGGAGGGTCTGAGAAAGGACATTTAGAAGAAAATAGGAAGCAGAGCATTAATGGGACAAAGAAATGTGGTATTATCTGTTGAAGACATTTTATAGTTTTATCAACTGGAGGAGGGAGAAATGTTCACCTGCTGAAATATTCACTTTGTAAGCTAAATAATGTGATTGAATGTATAAAATAAAATGAAATTAAAAAATGTAAAAATAAAAAAAAGAGCATTGGGACCAGCAGCTAGCGTAATGGCTATGTCGCTGGACTCCCACATAGTCGACCGCGGTTCACATCCCGGGACCCGGTGGCTTAAACTCATGCCAGGCGTGTGTGCGTGTGTACCCAAAATCCTGAGAAGAGAAAGGAGGAGAAGGGATTGCAGTGTGGCCATCCCCCATGGGGGTGATTTCTCACTTTCTGTCTCTCTGTCTTCCTGGCGAGTGCACACGCCCTATACCAAAAAAAAAAAAAAAAAGTATTACAGTATCATTACCAAAATTCTTCCTATACCAAAAAAAAAAAAAAAAAGCTTTCTCTTATTGTTTTCCATATACTCCCCTTTATCTTTTCAATTTGAAATGAGGAAGGGAGGGAGGGAGGGAGGGAGGAAATGTAAGAAAACAAGCCACTAGGTCTAGGACTTGAACTATGCTAAGCCAAGTGGGAGTCTAGTGCCCTTACCCATCACACCATCTGCTGGGCACCCCTCTTTATCTTTTTAATCATAATCAGAATTCTCATCTTTCTCAATGAAGTAAAGACCCTCTTTCTATCCAACCTATAAACTTTTCCCAATGGAATCTCCTTCAATGTACCAGTACATTATAGTATAAAGTTATAATTTTGTTATTAATTACAATGTTTGACTTTACTGTTTTTGTAATTAATGAATATCCAGGTTTTTTGGGATCTATATGTAGTCTTAGCGCCTCTGAAAGAACTCGACTTTAAACAGGATTTCATCTAATGTGTTAGATGCTAAAAAACTAATCTCTATCAGAGACTAGTTTTGAAATTATTATTTAAAAATTATTTTTTAAAAATTAACTGTAGTATTAATCAAAAATATTATCACACCTTAAATTTATGGAGAAACCACCACCAAAATGAGTCTTGCAGAAGAGCAATAGAAGCTTCTGAGAGAAAATGAGTCTTCCAGATTTTAAAAACTCTTTCCTATGGGGGAAAAAAAGACATATTGAGGTCAACTTAAAATATATTACAAAACATGATCATATAAATGGGCTTTCTAAAAAGACTGTACTCAATGGTCATAGAACAGCATACCATACAACAAAGATTTAATGTGAGTCATATTAAACAAGTAAAAGGTGAAATTAATTTTAACGACATTTTATTTAATAAAATACATTTAAAGCATCATTCCAACATATAGCTATTTTAAAATTTTAATAAAATATTTTACATTCTTTTTTGGTTCTAGGTCTTTGAAATAAGAGATATATTTTACAATTATAGTACCTCAATTTGAACACAGAAATACTAGATCAGTATTTAGACTTAATAAATTACCTGGTGGCTATTTTGTTCCAAGCATAATTTAAAGTTTTTCAATAACTGTACCAAATATTAGTTTTCAGATTTGAATGTATATTAATTTTAAAAAAAGTTAAAAACCCAGCTCCTTGGTCATCCTAACCACATTTCCTATCCTCAATTTGGATAGTAGCTATTGAAGGGACAGTGTAGGGTAGAACTAGAATAGCAAGAATGTAATGATACATACTGTAATTTCCCCCTTTTTCTACTGGAGATAAATACCACCAATTAATCCTGGAATTCTGTTCAAATAATCTCCCAACATAAGTCTACCTAAACATAATGTTCTCTCTACGTGGAGAGTTGATTAAAATTGGTGCATAAACTATCATGACTATTAAAACTATCATGACTAAAGACTATAAATTTCTATCTATATGGTCAGATTCAATAGATCATCCACAAAAGCTTTCATAAGCCATCTAGTATGGTCTAAAGTATACTGATAACAGTTTCAACTTATATTAAGCACTTTTTAATTACAATGAACATATGGAAAATATGTAAATATAAAAATCAGAAAACTAAAACGCAGAGGGAAAGTGAACAGTTCTACCGGTAACCATCCCACCTTCAACCAAACCCTAGTAATGACTGCCCAGTGATCTAGTTACTTTCCTATACCCATAACTTTTCATCATTTGGTTACTGTGTAGGGATACTACCCCCCAGATTTCCCAGGACACTTACAGTTTAAAAATATCACCTAAAAGGCTTATAAAGAGAGCTATCATAAGATAATTCATGGGTGAAATGAGCATACTAAAATATTCTGAGTTGATATATTAGGAACTGAGAGAGAAAAACACCAATACAGAAACATGCCTAGCCACATTAGTAACCTCAGGCATGAGAGGTAGAAATACAGTCTAAAACTGTCTTCTGGCAATAGGGTTTTAGATACCAGTGGTCTTTCCCGCCACATTTAATGTCCAAAGATCAAATCTTGCTTGACACCTACTGTGTCATAGCTTTAAATAAAGGCCTGATTCAGTAAATAATACTCTTAAAGTTTATTATATAATAAAAATAAAATAATATTCACATACATCAAAGTTATGGTTTTTTAAAATAAAAAGAAAAATTCGTTCAGCATCCAAGTGTCTGGGTAGTTGAGTAAGCTCATTTGTTTTGAATCCTGAGAAGGTATAACCCTAGAAAGAGGGAAATATCATGAAATAATAATTATCTCACTCTCCTCAATATTGTACTCTCCTATAACTACAGAAGACAGATAATATTTAGCCGTCACTCACTAACATAATTACTTCACTTCTTTTTATTTTTTTATTTTTTTCAGATTATAAATATTATTGTTTTTATTCTTATTATTTTTTTAAACATTCAATCACTATACATCTTTTGGCTAGTAAAGAGAATTTACCTAACATGAAATGCTTCTCAGACCAGTCCAGTTGAGAACACTATACATGTTAGCATCAACAGGTAATAAACCATTTCTGTGACCCACAAATGTCATACTTCCCTATTTGTTCTCATGCTATCCTTCTCTATCCTCTTCCCCTCCCCCTCCCACTCCATTCAGCACTGTCTTCAGCATCCATAACTATTTTCAGTGCTTTTATGCTCTCCAATATTTCAATCTCCACCATAGTGCAGATAGTTGGTATATATTAAGTGGATACACACAGTATCTTTCTTTCATAGCCTGGCTTGCCTCACTCAGCAATAAATCTTCCATATTCAACCTCTTGCAATCAAATGTCAGGGTCTTGTTTTTTATGGCTGAATAGTATTCCATAGAGTATATGTGCCACACTTTTCCAATCTATTCTTGCTTGTGGACTTCACTTCTTTTTATTAGATTAAGCAAAAAATAAATTTCCCATTAAGAAAAATCTTTATATTTCCTGCTTTTCTGGAATTAAGTGCTCTGATATGTTCATAATCCAAATCCAAAAGCAAAACAAGATCATATTTCAGAACTAATTTTGACATAATAAATGATGAAGAATTTTAGCTAGACATAAAAAAATATGGACTAAGTATGAAGAAAAAACTTCTATACCTGTCTCCAACTTTTTACTCTAGGGCACCTATCTATATTGGTAGCTACATTTATACGATTATAAATATTCTTTTAGCCCTACATAATTTTGCTATACAATCTGGCAGAACAGAAATTTGAAATACCTCTATATTCTTTTCTGTCTTCATGTCTTCTGAAAGCTGGAAAACATTTAAAATGAAATCTATGAAACTCAAAGAACTTCACATTTTGCAAATTTTTTCAGTTAACTAGTATGTATGTGTGAGAGTACTTCAAAAAGTATATGAAAAATGGGATTAAAGTATGAGTTTATTTTGGTATAAAAAATTCTGAAATCTACACATAAATTTTTTATAATATGCAATTTTCATGAACTGTTTAAAGATCCCTCATAGATATAAATGGAAAAGAGAATGTAATATATTTATATATTACTGAGACAGGCATATTTTAAAGGCATAAGCAGCTCTAAAGAATAAAAAAGAATAATTTGAAATAGGTGTAAGTTCATAAATAGGCAATTAACAATAACAAAAGGCTAGTAAAAACCAAATGATCAATTTTAATAGTAAAAAGTATGCAACTTGTTAAATATGTGCCTATCAAGTTGGCAAACATTAAAAATATGACAATATTTAATGTTGGCTAGAGAATGAGTAAGGGATTTCATAAATTCTATTGTTACAAATGGAAATTGGTACCATATTTCTAGAGAATAATTTGGCAATGCATATCAAAACATTTAAATTTTCATATTTCCTTCCCCAGGTGTTTCCACTTCTGGAAATTTATCTTAAGAAAATATTCATAAGCATTATGTTAAGCTCGAGATATGTCCATGACAGCTTTTTAAATAATAGGGAAGAATGAAAACAAACCTGTGTCCAACAAAAGGGCAATTACATTAATTTATGAAATATCTGTTTAAAAATGATAGAATATTTGAAGGATATTTATTGATGGAAATTTCATAATACATTTAATAAATTAAGAAAAATATAATTTAATCTAATTGTAAACAATTAAGAATGGGGCCAGCTAGTGCCATGGTGGTTAAGATGGCTGGATCCCACATGACTGACTGTGCTGTTTGAGGCCTGGATCTGACAGCTTGAAAATACACTGAGTGCATGTGTATGCCCAGAATCCTGAAAGGATAAATGAAGGAGAAGGGATTGTGGCGTAACTACACCCCATGTGGATGCTTCCTCACTTTCCTTCTCTATGTCTCTGGCAAGTGTACATGTCCTCAAATAAATTAATGGGACCAGCAGTTAGCATAATGACTATGTCGCTGAACTCCCATGTAGCCAACCGTGGTTCGAGTGCCAGACCTGGTGGCTTAAAACTCACACCGGGCGCGTGTGTGTGCGTGCCCAAGATCCCAAGAGGAGAATGGAGGAGAAGGGATTGCGGTGTGTCCATCCTCCCTGGGGGGTGATTTCTCACTTTCTATCTCTCTGTCTCTCTCTGTCTTTTTGGCGAGCGCACACGCCCTATAGAAAAAACTCCAGAAAAAAAAAAAAAAGGATAAAAGTGACGACTAAAGAGAGATATACATTATCTCCAAATGATAGAATTATGATGCAAATTCCTTTTTGATATGTATATATTTCTTTTAATCTTCTCAAATGACTACTTTAGCCATAATAAGGAATAAATAAAAAAACATATTTTGAAATTTAAAAAATAACATTAAATAAGGTGGCTGAACTGGTGATGACACCTGAAAGTCTTTATACCTTTAACACTGTATAATTTTAAAATGTATTTTTGAAAAGGACTAACTATTTAAAAGTAAGGGGAAAGCCCATTAGAATTTTAATCAAAATCTCAAAGAGATTTTTTAAAAACTGACAAAATAGGGACCAGCAGTTGGCGTGATGGCTATGTTGCTGGACTCCCAAGTAGTCGACCACGGTTCAAGTCCTGGAGCCAGTGGCTTAAACTCATGACGGGTGCATATGCCTGTATACCCAAGATCCTGAGAGGAAAATGCAGGAGAAGGGATTGTGGTGTGGCCATCCCCCTGGGGGGTGATTTCTCGCTTTCTGTCTCTTTGTCTCTCTCTGTCTTTCTGGCGAACGCACGTACCCTATATCAAAAATGTCTCTCAAAAAAATTAATAACCTGACAAAATAATCTAAAGAACATAAAAAAATAATTGTTAAAATTTTCCTAAAGGAAGAGGTCTAATATGGTACCTACCGTACTAAGTATAAGATGTTTTAAGTTATAAATAACCAAAGGATGGAATATGTATACATTAAAATAAGTCTTCAAATAACTAGTAGTGATATAAAGATGTCAATATTTACATAAAAAGAAAATGAGTCAGCTATTATAAAAATATAGAGATGGGTGACAAAAGACTTAAATATCATCTTAGAAAAATGTTATTAGTTGTGCAATTATGGTGTTTATATTTTCTATGAAAGTATAATTTTCAAGGATAATAAAAAATACTATACCATTATTTTCCTCTTCTTATGGTAATGGTACTTCTTTGGAAATGCTTCATATTTTTCCATTTTTCCATAAGAACCTTAAAAATAATATATATTTACATATATTTTTTTTTCTAAAAATAAAGAAAACTTTGATACTTTAAAGAAACTATATATGAAACTACTCAATGAAATCAACTAGCTATTTTGGTAAGTGTGATGTTAGACACATACTCTTGAATAAATAACAACAATTATTATATATCTTTTGTTTCCTTTGTTATTCCGAAATATCTTGATCTAACAAACATGTCTACGGCATATACTCCTATCTAAAATTTTACCTCTTTCTCTCTCAACTGAATAAATTTACATTTTTCAAATAGTTCAGTCACTTACACTTGTTGTTTCTTTATTGCCTGAAATTCAATGAAGTGCAGAATTGTGGACCACGGTGCTGTGAAAGTTAACAGGGAATTCTAAAGTCAGAAAACCTGACAAATAAAGCTGTGATTTTATATACTGAGAACAATGAATATATGTAATTTTTTTTTTAAACAGGAAGGTAGGTATAAAAGAAAATGTTCAAATTTTATTCTGTTTATTTTTGGATATTTTCTTTCTTAGCAATGATTTATGGGCATGTGTGTGTGAGTGTATGTATATACAAGTTATATATGTATGCATAACACATGTACACACAAGTTACATATACAACAGTATGGATTTTTATATTTTAAATAAAAAAATGAATAGTACATTTAATAGCAGTATACATAAACTTTTTTTGAGAGGTTTTTGCTACAGGGCACATGCACTTGCTGAAAGATAAGAGAGAGAGAGAGAGAGAGAGAGAGAGAGAGAGAGAGAGAGAGAGAGAAAGGGAGAAATCACCCCCAGGGGGGATGGCCATGCCACAATCCCTTTTCCTCCATTCTCCTCTCAGGATCTTGGGTACACATGCACACGTGCCTGGCGTGAGTTTAAGCCACTGGGTCCCAGACTCGAACCACAGTCAACTACATGGGAGTCCAGCAACATAGCCATTACACCAACTGCCGGTGCCTTAATAGCACTGCATTTAAACAAATTCTCAGAATTTGAAAAAAAAATTGTCTAAAAAAAGATGTAATGAAATACCTAAATTATATAACTAAACACATTACTACATGGAAAATACATTAAACCAGTGGTAAAAGTGTAATGTGACACTCTGTGATGTTGAGACCACATGGAAAGGATCATGGATTTTCATGCCAGTCTCCCAGTACACAATGGGCACTCATATGCATACTCATGCTAGATGAGGCTGGGGGTGGTTCACAGCATGAAGACCCTGTTGAGGGTGACTCCCTCTCTTTTTTTTTTTTTTTTCTTTTTCTTTTTTCCTTTTTTTTCCCCCTCTCTTTTACTATCTCATGGAGAAAAAGAAATAAAAGAAAATTCTTCTAAAAATATAACCAGTATCATCACTGTCAGGCTTACACCTGATACATTTGCCCATTAAATCAAGAATAATACAAGAGTCATCATTAGTATTTAAAACTATTCTTAAAGTGTTGATAAATACAGTTAGAAAGGAGAAAAAAGTTATATGAATGCTAAAAACAAGTAAAAATTATTACTTGCAGATAAATTTTTCATTCATTCAGTTATTCCACAGTGAATACTAAATACTGCTACAAACTAACCTAGTTCATGTAGGTCAGCTCTCATCCTTTATACTTTTGCTTTTAGGTATTTTAGGTCCATCCTGACCCCTGTAACTTGCATTTTTCTAATAACAATATCAGTTGATACAATTCTCTTCCTGTATCTTTCATTTCTGCTACCTTCACAATAACTTAACAAAATTAAACAGTTTCACAATTATTTTAGGCTTTGTCCCAGTAATTCTCTCTTTGAAACTGTATGTTTATGTTCAACTAAAGATGTGTATTGGGACAAGCAGTAATACAGTGTGTCTTCTCAGTGCTGAGGTCACATGGGAGAGTTCCAGGTCCATATCCCAAGGTTTTCCTGTATGATGGGCTTATGCATGCATGCCCATGATCTGGCTGGCTGGGACTGGGGACAGATCACCCTGTTAAGGGTGTCTATATTTTTTTATCTTTATCTCTCATGGAATAAAAATGAATAAATAAATAAATAAAGTCTGTATTGGACAATTTTTTTTTTTGGAGAGATTTTCACTATAGGGCACGTGCGCTCACCAGACAGACAGAGAGAGAGACATTAGAGACAGAAAGCGAGAAATCACCCCCCAGGGGGGATGGTCACGCCGCAATCCCTTCTCCTCCATTCTCCTCTCGGGATCTTGGGCATGCACGCACACACGCCCGGCGTGAGTTTTAAGCCACCGGGTCCGGGACGCAAACCGCGGTCGACTACGTGGGAGTCCAGCAACATAGCCATTACGCTAACTGCTGGTTCCCTGTATTGGACAATTTTTGAAATACAGAGATTTTAAAATAAAATATATTTATTTTTTGCTTTTAGATACTTTATACTTGTGATTTCATTCTTTATGAGAAAACACACACAGAGACATACAAACACACACACATACACACACACACACATGCACACTTGATCACTACTTATATAAAAACCAAGGCTTACTTGTCCCATATATCACGCTGATTCCCTCAAATATTTTGGAGGCGTGGTTTTGCAAAAGAAGTGAACATTCTTTTAATCTTGACTCCATGAGCAGAAGTCTTTCATAAAGACGAGGGACATTTTTCCATAGGTGAGTATAAATTGAAATAAATGAACTATCTTCTCTGACTTTTTTTAAAGTGTTTGCCCATTTATCATTATCTTCAAATCTGATTTCCCTTGGCCAATGATCCTGAAAAAAAAAAAGTGAGAGAATTCAACATAAAATTTTAATGAATTTAAATATGAGATTTTATTCCATAGCATTATTTTTATTAATTTTCTATAATATCTGCAACAATTACAAACTTCAGAAAAGTTACAAGTGCTTTACAAAAAACTTTTTTACTGAATCATTTGAGAATAAGTTGCTTATTTGATAGCTTAACATCCCTTCATACTTTATTGTATATTTCTGGAAAGAAAAACGGTCTCCTAAATAATCACAATATAACCCTGTGAATCAGAAAACTGGCATTGATATGTTGTTCCTGTTTTACCTTCAGGCTTTATTCAAGTTTCGTATTTAGTCTTTAGATCTGTGGTCCTTTTAAGTCTACAACAGTTTCTCAATATTTGGTAGGGGAAGAGAGAATATTAGGGATCAGTTTTTACATATATATATTTTTTTACCTGAGTTATAATTGACAAAAAAGATTGTACAGTCATAGTGTACAACATGATGCTTTGGTATATGAAGAGATTATGAAATAATTACCAAAATAAAGTTAACATCCATCATCTCACATGGTGTGTATGTGTGTTTATATGATATTTAAATTTTTCTTAGCAACTAAAATTTTTTTCATTATTCATGGTATTGTGTGGTGCACATATGTGTGTGTGTATGTGTGTGCACATGTGTGTGTGTGTGTGAGAGAGAGAGACACTGTGTATGGTCTAGCCATGCTGCAATTCCTATGCTTCAGTCTTCCAGCATGTTAGATTTTAGGCATTCATGCACATGTCCTCCCAGTGCTTCAGGATGACCATGCTAGGGATTCAAACCTTGGTTGTCATGTGGCATCCAGTTTCTATTGAGTATCATATCACTGGTGCTCCACAGAGTTGGGCCTTGCTTAGCAATTTTGAAGTACATACTACATTATTAACTACAATCACTATGCTGTCCAATAGATCTCCAGGATTTATTTTTTCTATCTAGCTGAAACTCTACCCTTTAACCCATTTCTTTTCTACCCCTCCTTAGGCCCTGGAAAGCACCATCCTACTCTCTACTATTATAAATTCCACTTTTTAAGATTTCACTCATAAATGAGATCACACGATAATAGTCTCTTTGTGCCTGGCTTATTTCACTTAGCATAATGTCTTCCAGGTTATCTCTATTGTTGTGAAGACAGGACTTTCTTCTTTTTAAAGTCTAATGATATTCATGTGTGTAATTTTTATTTTTATAAGTTAAAAATATATATATAGCTGTGTGCACTTGCTTGAGAGAGAGAAAGAGTGAGAGAGCACCACCCCATGGGGGATGGTCATTCCACAATCACTTCTCCTCCATTTCTCCTTTCAGGATTTTGGGTATGCACGAACACATATTTTTCAAGTCACTATTGTCTAGCACAGTCAGGCATGTGGAATCCACCCTTCTTAATCACCTCACTGGCTGGCCCATATTTTATAATTTTAGTATATGAATTTTAATAGGGAGAAATGGAGAAGAAGGGATTGTGATGTGACCATTTCCTATAAGGAGTGCTTTCTCACTCCTTGTCTCCATCTCTCTCCAGCAAGTTTATAAACCTGGCAAAATTTTTAAAAACTTACAAAATTTAAAAATTCAATAAAAAATTTTAAATAAGTAGTAACTTTAAAAAACATTTTCAAAAAATCCATGATACAGTGCATGTGCATGCAATGATGGGGTATGGGACACCCCCTCTGTAGAGAGTCTGGTTATGCCACAATTCTCTTCCTCCAGTTTTCCAGCCTGTAGGATCTCCAGCCTGTGGGCACTTGTGTACATGCTTAGTGTGTTTCTGGTGAACTGGGACCTGACCAGGGATTTGAACTGCATTTGCTATGTGAGATTCTGCTTCTCTTGAGCAGTGTGCATTACTGTTGTGCCAGTAATGGAGCAGGCTCAAAAGTTAATTTAATAGTAGTGATTTAAATACACTCAGAATTTGAAAAAGGGCTAAGCCAAAAAAAGAGATGTTAAATATCTAAATTATTGTATATAACTAATCACATTAATACATTAAAAAAAATACATGCACACATGGCCCAACTGGTGTCATGGTGGTTGGGTAATCGAATTCCACGTGACTGACCAGTTTGAGTCCCAGAATCAGTAGCTTGATGGGTATGTTTGTGTGTCCACAAAAATACCAAAAGATAAATAATGAGAAGCGATTGTGGTGTGACCATCCCCAGGGATTGGGGAGGGCTATTCTCACTTTCCTTCTCTGTCTCTCTCTGGAAAGCACACATGTCTCCTACGAAAATACAAAATGATAATGATAATAATTCTAAAAAGAAAGAAAAAAAAGGAAAAGAAAAGAAAATACACATACAATATTGTCCCTGGGTATATGAGAGGATTGGTTCTAGAACCTCATGCAAAAACCAAATCTGGATGTTCAAGTTCCTTATATAAAATAATGTAGTTCCATGGATGTGTGATCGATGGCAGTTGACCCTCATAACCATGGGTTCTACAACATAGATTTAACCAACTACAAATCAATTGGATCAGGGGTTGGTTGTAGTCATGAATGTAGAAACTATGGATAAAGAAGAATGACTGTATTTATGTCTCATATGCACATACCTACACACACACACACACATTCTAAATTTTCTTTTTCTATTCATACATAAATGGACATTGAGACTTGGTTAATATAAATCATGTTGCAATGAACAAAGGAGTACAGGTATCTCTTTGACATACTGATTTTATTTCTTTGGATATATAGCTAGAAATGGGATTGCTGGATCATATGGCAGTTCTATTTTTAATCTTTTGAGGAACATCCATACTGTTTTACATAATGATTGCACAAATTTATATTCCTAACAACAGTGCTTAAATGTTATTATTTCTCCAGATTCCTATCAACACTTTTTAGTTTTGTCTGTCTGATAACAGCCATTCTAATAGGTGTTAGGTAATATCTCATGGTTTAGTTTTATTAGGTTTATAATTGCCTGATGGTCATGTGGAGTTTTTTTTTTTTTATTTTTAAGGCCAATTTACTGAGCCCTGATTTCCTTTTTATTTTTTTAGAATTATTTTATTTAACCGTATTTTTATTTTATTTATTTTAACTTGACGAGGGAGAGAGAGAGAGAGAGAGAAAGTGAGAAAGCAAGCCACCAGGTCTGGGACTTAAACCGCAGTCAGCCATGTGGGAGTCCAACGCCCTTAACCACCACACCACCAGCTTTGGTCATTTTTATGTCTTCTGTGGAGAAATGTCTATTTGGGTCTTTTGGCCATTTTTAATCAAGTTATAGGTTTTCTTGTTACTGAGCTGACTGAATTTCTAATAGTTTGGATATTAACCCCTTATCAGATGTGTGGTTTGAAAATATTTTCTTCTGTTCTATAGGTTATATGTACACTCTGTTGATAGTTTTCCTTGGCTGTATAGAAGCTTTTTAGTTTGATATAATATGATTTTATTATTTCTTTAATTGCTTTTATTGTCTGTGATTTGGAGGTCATATCGCCTCTCTCCCCCCAAACAAAACAAAACAAAATAAAAACTAAAAGAACACTCAGGTCAATGTCATAGCACTTTTTCCTGTATTTTTTTCTAGTAGCTTTATGGTTTCAGGTTTTACATTTAAGTCTTAAATCCATATTGAGTAGATTTTTGTATATGGCTATAGCATGAGATAAGGGCATAATTTCATTCTTTGGCATGTGGATATTCAGTTTTCCTAACACTATTTGAGAGATTGTCCTTTCTTTATTATGTGTTCTTGGCACTTGCTATGGTTTGAATGTGTCTCCCAAAAGTTCCTGTGTTAAAAACTTCACCCCTCTCCTCTCATGAATAGGTTAATTTCACTATCACCAAAGTGTATCTGTTACTGCAGGATTAGCTTTGTCATAAAGGTGAAACTCTCTGGTTCTTTTGCTTTTTCCTTTTGTCACATGATACTTTCCATTGTGTTATGATGCTGCAAGAAGGCCACATTGATAGCTTCTAGTGCCATACTCATAAACATTCCAGCTTCCAGACCCATTAGCTAAGTAAACCTGTATTTTTTATAAATGACCTAGTGTATGGTATATAGTTAGTAGTGGAAAATGAATTAAGACCTTTGTGGAAAATCAATTGACCTTAAATGTGTGGATTTATTTCTGGGCTCCCTATTCTTTTCCACTGAGTTATATGTCTTTATGTAAGTACTACACTGTCTCAGTTACAATAGCTTTGTAGTATATTTTAAAGTCAGATAGTGTGATGTCTCCAGCTTTGTTCCTTTTCATCAAGATTGTTTTCGTAATTTAGGATTTCTTGTAGCCCCATAGGAATTTTAGAATTATTTTTTTCTATTTTTGTAAAAAAGGCCATTGGAATATTAATAGGGTTCATATTGAATCTGTAGGTTGTTATGGGTAATATTAATTTTTGCAATTCGTAAACATGGAATATTTTACCATTTATTTGTGTCATACATATACAATTTTTTCATCAATGTTTTGTGATTTTCAATGTACAGTTATTCATGACTTTGGTTGCATTTATTCCTAAGTATTTTATTTTTTCATGCTATTGTAAATGGTATTGTTTTCTTGATTTCTTTTTAAGATAATTCATTGTTAATGCATAGAACTAATACTTCTTTTTGCTGGTTTTGTATACTTTGTCCAGTAAATTAAAAATTAATTTTGGGGGGGACCAGCAGATAGCATAATGGTTATATCACTGGACTCCCATGTAGTTGACCGTGGTATGAGTCCAGATCAGGCAGCTTAAAACTCATGCCAGGCACGTGTGCGTGCATGCCCAAAATCCTGAGGGGGGAATGGACAAGAAGGGATTGTAGCATGGCCATCTGCCCTGGGAGGTGATTTCTTGCATTGTCTCTGTGTCTCTGGTGAGTATGCATGCCCTCCAGCAAAATTCTTTCTTAAAAAAATAATAATTTTTTCCTATTGTGCAGAGGATGTTAATCATCCTCCATTCTATTCAAGTGAATGTCCTCTCACTAGCTCTGAAACTTAGAGCAATTTTTTTTCCTTTTCTCCTTGGAGATTTAAAAAAAAAATTATGATTTATCATTGGCAATCATTTTACATCTCTATAGCACACAATATACTTTTTAAGGTACACATCCAGTACACAGCAATCAAGCCAGGAATATAACCATAAACATAATTTTTAAGAGATCTTTATAATCTTGTATATGTTTTCTGTCTTTTTTTTAAAGTAATAATGAATTTATTTATTTATATGTTTATTTATTTAATTTATAATTTGACCAGACACACACACACACACACACACACACACACACACACAGAGAGAGAGAGAGAGAGAGAGAGAAGGAAAGTGAAAATGCAAGCTGCCATGTCCAGGGCTTAAACTACAATTGGCCATGTGGGAGTCCAGCGCTCCAACCACCACACCACCTGCAAGCCCCACAATCTTTTATCTGTTAAGGGTTTCTTTCCTAGTCATTTTATATGTATGTTTTCAAGTGTGCAATAGTTTGGCAATGATCAAGCCCTTAAAACAAACAAAAAACAAAAAACTAGATCAAGCCTTAAAAATATAACTACAGAAAATGAACCTTTGGTTATAAAATCCAAAGAATAAGAATTACAGGTAAACTCACACATGACAAAATGGTAAAATTGATTATGTTGTCTTTATCAAATGCTGTCTGATAAAAATTGAAAGCTATAAAAATATCCTTTTCATACAAATGTAAATATGTCCTTTGTATACAAAGATGGTAGTATTGATATATCATTAATAAGACACAAACATTAATTTGATTTTTTATTCTATCATTAGTAAAAGGCTGTCATAAATCTATAATTTTGATTTGATCAGATCATTCCTAATGTAAGTAGAGATATTATGCATTCTCTACTTCAAATAATTAAAATTTTTTATCTGAAACCAGAGCTTCTCTCAAATATATGTAATGGTATATTCCAAATGTCTCCATTATCTGTTGAATTTGGCTTAACTTTAATAATAATCCATTGGTATTAAAAAGATCATAGGCTAGCCTGCAGCCTAGTGGTTTCTGGAGTTGGATCCCACATGCCCAACTGCAGTTCAAATATTGGCCCATGTGACTTAAAAAATATTCTGGGGATGTGTATGTATATGTTCCAAATCCTGATGGGATGAAGAAGTGGAGGAAAAAGGAGTACAGGGTGACCACACTCAGTTGAGCGGTGCTTCTAGCTTTTATTTCTCTCTCTGGCAACTGAATGTACCCTCTAGCAATACAAAAACAACAAATTTTTTTTTCAGGATCTTGAATACTGTCATTAGGCTGAAGCATAATTTCACCATTATTTAAATCAAAACAACTGCAAAAAGGCTTGTGCTATTATTTTGAAATATTTGGCCCTGCCACAGTGATTGAAATCCACTTTTGTAAACCAAGAATTTTTCCATTTTCTATTTGCTCCTAATGGAAACTCAATCCTTTCCTAAAACATCAGGGAAAAAAACTTATTTAAACAAATATAAGAACAGAAAATAAATGCTTAAAAATAGACGTTTCTGAAACTCCATTGTCAACAGCTTAATCAAAGAAAACTCTGTTTATATTTAAGCATAAATAGATGTGAGTTATTCATATTCCAACCAATCAAAATATGAACATACCTCATAAAAAAGCAATCTTTTCTCTCTGTCTCCTATACTGACATCTTTATCCTACTCTTGACATTCTTCATGGCAGAACAAATCTGACCATCACATTTGCAAGCCCATGAATCCAAAGAAAAACTCTAGCAATTCCAGTAATTCCAAAGTCAGTAGTTACACATAACAATGGAAACTGGAGCATTCTATACAATTGCACAATTTGAATATTTTGCACTGATTCAACAATCAAGGAATACTGACACAAAAACCCCTATCAATTATGTATGGATAAATGAAATAAGTAAACATATTAGGGATTATTTAACGTGTAAATATATAAAGTAAAAAAATCTTACGTTAGCAAAAAATATATTAAAATGTCTATATAGGGACCAGCAGATGTTTATGTTTAATGTTTACCTTGCTGGACACTTATAGTCAACTGCAGTTCATGTCTCAGATCCGGCGATTTAAAACCCACACCAGGCATATGTGCATGTGTGTACAAAATCCTGAGAGGAAAATGAAGGAGAAGGGATTGTGGTGTGGCCATCTCCCTCCACCCCGAAGGGGTAATTTGTTGCTTTCTGTCTCTCTTGTAAGAACACGTGCCCTATACCAAAAATCTCTCTTAAAAAAAATTGTCTATATATTGGTACAATTGTTTAAATACAAAAAAGAAAATAGAATGTTAACTCTACAACATAGACCCTGCTGAAAGGAGATAAATACTTATAGACACTTGCCACATTGAAACGTGAATTTCTATTCTCAAAGTTTTTTCCTACGTCTTCTACATCTCTATAAGTGTTATTTTTAAAAGTTGTGCTGGTATATAAAATAGGATGCTTTACTCACCCAATTTTGATACTTTAAGAATTCTTCAATGCTCTTTGGAGGTTCTTGCATTTTCTAATGAAATAAAATCAATAATATTTGTTGGTATAAATTCAGATTGCTCATAATGCTTACACATAATGAAATAAACATATTTAAGTTATAATTTTCAGAATTGTAAGATATTACAAAATATTCACTTTATACAGTCCTTAAACTTTGAAAAGGAATAGAAGTAAATGTTAATATTTTGAGCCCCCAAACAAATTCCGCAAAAGGCTCCCCTCTTGGGAACCAGCAGTTAGCGTAATGGCTATGTCGCTGGACTCCCACGTAGTCGACTGCGCTTCACGTCCCGGACCCGGTGGCTTAAAACTCACGCCGGGCATGTGTGCGTGCGTGCCCAAGATCCCAAGAGGAGAATGGAGGAGAAGGGATTGCGGCGTGACCATCCCCTCTGGGGGGTGATTTCTCGCTTTCTGTCTCTGTGTCTCTCTCTGTCTGTCTGGTGAGCGCACGCGCCCTATAGTGAAAACCTCTCAAAAAAAAAAAATGGCTCCCCTCTTAAACATTGGCCCTGGAGAAAAAAATTACAAATAAATCTTGCTGAAAATCCTCATTTGAAATTCATACAAGAGTTCCAAGATATTTCAGGCTAGCGTGGATATTGTCTATAATAAATACAGAGCCAAAAGTATAATAATGTCATCTTCTTCTTGGGCTGAAGTATTTTAAAAACCCACACTAGTGACATAGTGAAAATAATTAAAATATTTTTATGTTTCAGTCCAATAAGTAATAATGCTATTTTTTATTAGCAATTTCATTTTGAGTTGAACACATATTCAACAATAGTCAAATTAATTTTAGTGTTAGTCCTGTAATAGAGTGGTTAAGGGTTGTATATACAAAGCTGGATCCTACTTGACCTACTATGGTTCAAACCTTGGCCTGGTGACTTAAAAAACACACTGGGCATATGTGCATGGCTGCCTAAAATGCTGGTAGAGAAGATAGAGAAATGGAGGGAAAAGGATTGAGGCATGACCACCCCTCACTGGTTGCTGCTCTCTCTCTCTCTCTCTCTCTCTCTCACTCATGCTCTCTATCTAGTGCTCTCTGACATTAAAAAAATAATTTTAATTGAGATCACACCTTGTTCTTTCTTGCCATAGAAACTTTGTACACATCTTTCCTCCTGCTTAAAAGTCTCCCCATCTCAAATCCTTGCCTTCCAATCAATCTTGGCATATTTAGTGTTTATTTTAAATATAAAATTAAAAGTCAGTTTTTCTAGGAAGCCTTTGTTGGCAACCTAAAAGTTTCTCCATGGTAAGCTAGGAAAATAGAAACTATTTTCCTTATCTCCAGGAGAATAGAAACTATGGTGCAATCACAGCTGAATTACCTAAATTTCAGGCCATGGCTGGTCTACAAGCAATGTAGAACAGCCACTCGTGGTTTGCATAAATTAATGAATAAATTAATAGATGCATGTCAGAAATGTGCAGATACTTGAAAAAATTTTAGAGAAGGAAAAATCAGTGCAAAGTCAAAATAAAAAGAAAATTCAGAAGTTTAATGTCTCAATAGCCATGACATGGCTGGCAAGAGTGGATTACATTTT